TAGTACCTGTCAGCCTTGGGTGCCAACTTCTCACATAAAATGTTTGGTTGACGTCAGTAAGGGCATACGGTCATAAAAACCTTGCACCAACAGATCCGCATAGGTGGACAATATTTTATGTAAATATGTATATATACGTTTCAGTTTTCCTTGGCATTTAGCAGGGGGGGTCGTAACCTCTTGTAGTGAGAACCAGTGTGACTGGCCTGCCAACGGGATGCTAAGGTTTTTATAGTAAAAGTTATCAGTCACTTTCGTTAATGTAATTTCGTTTTATTTATCCGTATATCAAAAATCACTATACTATACTATACTATACTATACTATACTATACTATACTATACTATACTATACTATACTATACTATACAATACTCATCCAAACAGACCCTGAAAGCCCTACACCACCTGGACTGCTCTCATACCTACTTTTACAGGAGCCAATGACACTCATACTTCCTATACTTTCTTATTTGGGCGAAGGCCTTTATCCTGTTCCCCCATTTCTGGGCTTAGCAGCCATCTTCAAACCTATCGCCCTCATGCATACCTACCTCATTGTGGTACTACTTAGTGTTAATTTTTTAACTCCAGTATTGTAGTCTATTTTGTATTTTATACTCTTTTGCTTTCAAATTAGTGCATTAAATATATTTGCATTGAACTCCTTGTGTGGTGTGATGTTACAAATGATTGATTTGTTTAGTGACATACGGGGTCTGTAAAAACCACAGAGCATGTGTTCTCCATTTTGGTTTTTTGCTTGTTTCTAATGCTCCTATAACACTTGCTGATCACTAGCCATCCAGGCTGCTTTTTGCCAACCAGTCAGAGCAATTGTGTTTCCTTTTGTGCTTTCTGTTTCTCACCTTAAACAAAATCTCAGTACACATGGTGTAGCCGTGAGTAATAATCGGCTCTTCTTCTGGTGCCTTCCCATCCCAGCAGTCTAATTCCACACAGCGACATCCAGCTAATAGACACTGGCGATAAATTTCCACTGACGACTTACCGGTCAACTGATGACCTATGAGGTAATATGTGCATGAAAAAATTGCCATCATTTTATCTATTAACAGTGCTCCACCTTGATGGTGGCCAAGTCAGTTATATATAACAATTACAAGAATTTATAAGAATATGTCTCATATACAGGTATACATGTAGATTGTTGAAAATTATATCATTCAGATAAAACTGTAGTAAAAAGGAATACGATACAAAGTAATTCGGCAAATGACTTGTATTTTGGTTAGATTTTAAACACAACAAACTCACAGTGTAAGATATTTTGGAAGTGTGTAATTTCTAATTTTAACTTTACTTACCAGTGAGATAAGTATTATGGGATGAATTGATGAGATAGTGAGAGAGTGGCTGGTCCATGTCTTCATTGAGTTCATAATTATCTGGGGTTATAATGTAGTTGTCAAAACTCATCAAATACTTGGTGAAACCTTCCATTGATAGATGACCTGTTAGGAATTAATACATCATTAAAAGTTTAAATTTATAAAAGTAAATGACTTCATGACAAAAACAATCATAAATATATCGATAGTTTCTTTGTGAATTTGGATTTGGTGACCAATACTCACTTGGTTCACTCTACCTTGAGAAGTCTCTTCTCAGTTTACAATCATAAAAAAGTGCACATAATTATTACACATGATGGATGTAGTAGCAGTGCTCGCCTTGGTAGAGCTACTTTTCTTGATTTTTAATAATGAAAAGTAACTAAACAAAAATCTTTGTAAACAAGCCATGCGTAAGATATATAATTTTGTTTATAGAGATCAGAGATAAGGATCCAGAAGCTGATGCTTGATTATGGTGATTTTTTAACACTGAAATGATTGACATTCAGTCATCTTGTATCTGATCGTCAAGGTAGTACTTGCCCATATTGAGAGATATTGCTGTGGAACAGAATTAATTAAAACAAAATAGCCACTAGTCATCCATTTTGAATACATCTGTATATCTATAACATGATGTAGAATGAATATATAACATAATCAGTCAAATCATGTCATACATGTAGATACGGCTCTAGAACCACATTCATTAAAACAAAATGGCCACGAGTCAGCCATTTTGAATCAGATTCGAAAAATAAAATGACGTGCATCAGGGACCCATAATTTTATATGTATGTACCAAGTTTGAACAAAATCAATCCATAAACGACCAAGATCCGGTTCCACAATGTCAATTTTTATAATGTTTTAGCACGAAAAATGGCTGCCACATGGCCATTTTTAATCAGATAGTCAAACAAATATATTTGTACATTGTATGACAGGATCTATAATGAATATATAAAATTTGAACATAATCAGTCAAAGCATGGCAGAGATATGGCACTAGAACCACATTCATTAAAACAAAATGGCCGCCATTCGGCCATTTCGAAATCCGATCTGAAAAACAAAATGACAAGGTTCCATAATGTCCAATGTATGCATTAAGTTTGAACAAAATCCACTCATAAATGCTTGATTTACGGAGACTAACAAGCTGGATAGCTTATCTTTAAAGATCAAATTGTTTTCAATCTAATCCCAATGTTTACTTTTGGATTGATATCATGTAGTTCCTACATTGATATCAAGCAAGTGATATTACATTTTAATGTTTGATGTACAGTTCCCCTACTTAATCAAATATTCAGGTGTCAACAATAATTTTATTCATACCAGTAAAATGAATACAATATATGTGACCCTTATGAAGTTGACATTCATGCCATTGCTTTCATTGCAGATTTAAAAGCAGGTCAGTCATGGCAGTTCATTTTGGATACAAATTGAGAATATACTATCTCATAGAATGTGTCATGTTGAACCCTTATACACTTGGCTTTAATTCAGGAAACGATGAATCGATTTATTTCATTCCGAGTGCTTTATATATTACAAAGAAATAAAAGCCCCATTAATAATTTTGCAGTGTCACTTGCCTGCAGCAAGAGTAGTGATTTTAATGAAGATAGAGAGTACATTGTACATAGTGAATGGTCCTACTAAATAATTAAGACCTCATAAATTAGTTACATGTGTTGAGAATTGTTAACGTGATTTGATTTTAATAAGTACCATCTATATGTAGGAGTTGTAGAGCTGAAGTGATGAAGAGTGCGTAAATGATGTACTTAGCCTCAATCTGAAAAATTGGTTTACACATCACTTTAATTCTTGGTAAAGGTGGATATAAAAGGTGTTATGTATGTTTCCTTGGATGACATGTGATGAAAATATCATTGAAAAAACACAATGAACTCACACACTTCATGAATCATATTTAATACATATAACACAGGTAAATAAAGATAAAATCTCATGCATGACTTTATGAGTACATTTGTATCAAAGGCGATTAACGCACTAGAAATGACACACGAAAAAAAAAAAGTAGGGGTGTTCACAAGCCTCATGTGTGAGCGTCCTAGCTGCTTATCCTATGCTATCAGTCGCCTTTGACCAACATCATGGAAATGATGAAGTGGGGCTCAAATGAGGGTGCCACCTACATGTATGGGGACTCTGTGTGTAAGTGTCATAAAGTCCTATCTCCTAGTGGCAATCGAGTCATAACTTTCGACTCAGTTCAAACTAATGTGACATACTGCCTAAAAATCTTGATTTCCTGTGTTGAAGGTGAAAAAAAATTATATAGAAATGGAAAGGAATCTGCAATGATAAGAGGGCAGGGGAAAACTTTGGCGATGCTCACTGTATGAAAGAAGGAACTGAATGAGGCAGTTTGAAAACTGATAAAGACTGAGGGACGTGAGACATTGATATGATGGCTGATGAGCAGTAACACATTATGGTTGATGGGATACAAAATTAAATGACAGAGGTCAGAGAATAATCCAAGAAGCAAATATTAAAGTATACATAATCATCAGTGGAAGCTAATTTGGCTGATAAAGGTCGATTGTATGGAGAACAAAGGATGCTCTTTTCTGTAATAGTGACAATAAAGATAAAAGTATGCAAGTTGGATGACACGTAGATCTCAGTGTAATCACACAATGTACCCACACACTTCTTGAGACAAATTACACAGTATCAAAAGTGAGTATAAGGTTGAAAGAAAATACATGTGTTATTATTGATGATCTAGATTTTCCATCTGCAGTCTGGTGTCAAATTGAAATAATCTTTCGATGTACAAGAAAGGTCTACTATAAAACATTTAGGGAATCATTCAATATTTCTCAGTACATTAAGTAGAACCCTATATATATTGATTTATTAAAATGTTTTTTTTTTTTCATCTCATCTAGAAAATGTCCATGAAAAGATGCCGCTATCAATAATCGATCGTGAACATTTCTATTTATACATGTACTGGAGCAAGCATAGTGATATCTGAGTGCCTTGAATGTATTACATGATGATACACCCTGATGCATGGCACCCAACAACTTATAAATCATGTTCTTGTATCTCTCTTACATTTGTATAAAGTGAAAAATCTTTTCTTTTTTTTTAAACAATACAAATTATATACCTTTCTTAGCAAATGATTTGTTGGGTTCATAATCGTCAATAAGTTCCTGTGTCTTCTTTTCTGTGCACAGAGGAAATAACACTTCATTGAGTCGTGGGTCTCTTTGAACTGAATTTAAAAAATCCTTAAACTGCAGAACGGTGAGGTAAGGCTTGTTTTTGGCACCACTGAAAATATGATAAAAGTAAATTTTTATCACCAACGTGAACAACTCAGATCAAGATGGAGGATGTTTTTAAAAAAACGGCAATTATGGCCAAGCCCAATAAAAAAAAACTTGCTCATCGGGTTGGCTGCTTGTAAGATTTCCAAATGTGTTTGAAGTTAGTAGTTGGGGATTTGTGGGAAAACATTAGCACAAATCAGTCATTTTGTTGCTGTTGCTGTTGCAAAACACAAGATCCAAAATTTATGAAGACAAAGATAACATTCTATAAAATGTTTTTCTATCTGTATGTGCTTTTAAGATTCATCCTTGATCTTGTTCAAGCATGAAATAATTGCTTTTGCATTTTGCAAAAAAATAAAATATCTTTGCTGCTGTTTTTTTCTCTTGAAAAGTTATTTTTTGGGTCTTGCCTATCAATACTGCACTTTCATGTTGAAAAGCAAAGCTTTAAACACAAATATTTAATTTGATGTTGATTGTAGGAATATCTTTGTTACAATTAATTGTCCTGGTACACAATTAAGAAAGTTACTGTAACATTTATTAATTTTAATAATAGGACGGTATATAATTATCACTTACATTTCTTGAAACACTTTATCAATTTCTCCTCGGTTTGTCAGACGGATATAAAATATAAAAAAGTCTTCTAAGGTGAACCTTTCCGTAGGAATTACATCATTCTGCAAGTTTATAGAGAACAATGTAAACAGGAATGCCATAAAGTTTGAGAACAGCAAACACCGATGGTGATTTAAAAATTCTATAGTTGTCAGACATATCACTCGTTTGAATTATGGTGGTAAACAATGCTGTGTCAAACAAGACATAATCAAAAATGACACCATGCAATGTCTGTGGAATTTTAACCTTTTCACTGGGTTTAAATTTCACTGATTTACCATTGCAGACATATTCAGTGGGTTTTAAATTCACGATTTTATCATTTAGACAATGTGTTCTATGCTAAATTTTACATATTCACTGGGTTTTAATTTAGCTCATTTTCCAGTCAGCGAAATAAGCCAAATTAAAACCCAGTGAATAATTAACCCCTTTACAGTATCTGTGAAAGTG